AGAAAACTTTGAGACCACTGTGATACCAACTATGGTATCAACTACGGTACCATTGTCGTAGATGGGTGTTTAGTGATATATATATATATATATATATATATTAAAATAATTAAAGTAAATTAGAATATTCAACTAATTATAGAGTATGTAGTGATTTTATACCCTATTTTTTAGTTGCTTGATAAAACAGTAGCTATAAACAAGTGTTTTATTACATTTTCTCTTTATGGTTGGAATTTTATTAAAAGGGAAGATATATAGGTGAGAAGAGCAAGAGCAACCTCTGCTGTAAAGTCAAACCCTAGAACAAGACTTGTGTTTTTTCTTTCTTTTATTCTTTTTTAATCCTCCTAATTAACATACTTCATTTATTTTGGTACTTATAATTACCCAATTATATGATATTTGAATTTGAAACGTCATAATTAATTATAATATACGATATATGAACCATTTAATTCCATAAAATACCATACTCTTGTTTATATAAGGTCAACATTACAGTAAAATTGGGTTTATAGGATACTCTCAATTTCTAATCGTCTTAATAGATCTTTTTGTAATACTTAGTTTATAGAATCAAAAAAATAAAATGTCTTATCTAAAGACATTGTAATAAGTTTATATGACGTTTTTTGACATCGTAATAAGTTTTTTAGGACACTTTTAATATAAAGTGTCTCATTAGCAACTTTCTAAGACACTATTTGAAAAACTGTCATATAAAAACAAATGTCCTATAGAAAATTGAGTTTATAGGACAATTTTTCAAAAGTGTCTTATAAAGTTGCTAATGCGACACTTTATATTAAAAAGTTCTAAAAAACTTGTTAAAACGTCCAAAAACGTCATATAAACTTATTACAACACATTTAGATATGATGTTTTATATTTTGGTCCTTTAAATTTAAGTCCTATAAAGCAGTATATTGAAACGTTAAGAGATTGGGGGTGTTCTATGAATCCAATTTTGTTGTAGTGCAAATTCGGTAAACAGATGCAATGACTTTGAAATGATCGTTCTGATATTAATCGGCTCGCATAACAGATTTGATATTCAGGTTAATAAAAAAAATATAATTATTAAAACTTTAAAAAAATTACAAAAATTTGGATTGGAAATAATGAAAAATAGTGGTACGTGAGAAGCTATTTATGCGGATCTGATAATGTGGATGTCTGTCACCTTGAGCTGGTTTTTAATTTTTTTTATAATTATTTTTTTAATTGTATTTTGGAGGTATTACCATGTCATGTGCAACATGCATGGCTTACTCTCATTAAATTAAATTAAAATCGGATTTTAACTAAGATTCTTCATCATTAATTAATTAATTAATTACAACTGCTACATATTTAAATATTACCAACATGCAATTATTAGTTTTTTAATTTAAATTTAAGTGTCAATTCTTTGGTAGGATGTTGCCTACTATATTCTCAATGCCAAATTGCCAATATACATTAGTTTTTGTTTACCAAACGATTATCTGGGTAAGTTTTTACCAAGTCACATTACCTTACCGGATGAATATGTCAAAAATCAAAAATCTTACCCGGTAAGAGCGAGACAAGGAACAAGAGTCTTACCCGGTAAGTGAAGGCGACGACTCTTACCACGGTAAGAGCTTACCAGGTAAATTATTGCATACGGTGTTGTTTTCGTGGAGTAAAATCTTACCCGATGAGTAAATAATAGTGTTGAATTTTACCGATAAGCATTTTTCGGGTAAGTTTTTGATAAACAACCCCTTAGTTGCTTATATTTTCACAAAATATATTTCCTTATTAGATATAATCATAACAAAAGATTAATTAAAACCCAAGCATCTTTCGGTAACCGTGAGTTTTCGAACCAACTTATCTGTACCGACTAATCATCCGGGCTATAAAACAAAGAGTCTTCATAGACTGAGAAATTCATCGATCGGTAATCTGCCAAAAAAACCATTACTAGCAGATATCTCAATCTGCCACAAATCCGTTGGTAATTACCGACAGAAAAATCCATCAAATAAACCTCTTTGTTTTATAATGGGACGACCACGAAATGACTTAAGAGTGATTGGCTGATTGCAAAAACTGCTATAACCAAATTTGAATTATAACTTATATGTATCATGATAAAGACAAATTGAGAACTTCAATCGAACTTTTATCGGTTGTTAAAATGAATTAACGTTACAAGTTTTAATACTTAGGTTGAATGAATTCTTCAGATAAAATTAATTTCATGAGGAAATATATATAAGAAATATCTGGTAAACTCATTCCAAGATATATAATATTATTATGAAGATATGTAATATTATGGTGTCATTCAAAAGGAATAATGCATCTTCTTATGCATCATGGTAGAGATATCTCACCCACCTATTATTTCTTTATTTTATTTTTAATATATATGCAATTAAGTCCAATTTTCCACTTTTTAGTACATATATCTCCAATAATATAACAAATAATATTATTTCTATTGTTGACTTTCTATGACCAATGCTAGGACTTCTGGATATTTGTTAACACATTAAATTTTACATCAAATATCAAATTTTACATCAAATCAGTTTAATGGATATATCAGGTTTGGTGTAACTAATAGTAACATACATAATTTATCGGGCTATCTGCAAAGCAGGTGGTCGTCATGAAATTAGTTGGTTCGTATAGTAAATTGAATATCCAGGTTAATAAAAAAAACATACATAATTTAATGTATCACTGTTCGTTTTTATTCATAGGAAAAGATAAAATGCATGCATATATATGTACTTAGAATTTTATATTTTTAATGTAAGATTTAGTGTTACCTATTGAAGTAGATTTATTGTTTGTACTAAATTTTACCGTCAATTATTGATTTAGTGATACCCATTAGAGATGCCCATACTTTTAAAATCCATAAAGTTAAAATAATTAATGATAATTTCAGTATTTGTAAATACACTACAAGGAATAGGGTTTTTAGAGAAGAAAGTCGTCTTACATTCAGTTACACTTCTCATTTTTGTCATGAGAACATATATTTGTTTCACAATGTGTTTGTTTCATATGTATGTGTGTAACATCTCATTTTAAAAAGTTAGACAAAATATTTAGATGTTTGAAAGTTTGGTAAAATAGTTTTATAGTGAAAACCAAGGGGTTATAATGTCCTTCCCTTAATCTAATAATAATATAAATAGGGTTTTTAAAAAGAAAAGAGAAAGACTATTGGAATTGAAGAGAGGAATCGAAAGAAGGAAGAAGATGTCGATGGAAGTCATTTAAGACTTCAACTTTGCTTTCTTTTCATCTAATCGACAAATTAAGGTAAGTTCTTCAAGTTTTAGTTTGATTTCTTATTGTATTTGATATTTAGGTTAGTATTGGATTCGATTTTTGGATTTTTTTAGGGAACAAAATCAAGTTTTACCGGCTGTCATGAGGACAGTCGTGTATATGTGTAATTTCTAAGAGAAACTCGGTTTTATGATGTATATTTTTAGCCCCAATTGAGTTCCAATGTGTTATATCTTCACTTTGATGCATTAGAACCTAAAATCCTTCAAGGATTGGAACAAAGTGGGTATTATACATCTTGTTAGCAGAAGTAATTTGTTGGATAAGTTTATTTCATGTTTAGGATAGTTTTGAGTCCATCTCAGATGTTCAATCATGAGTTGAAGTTGAAAAAAAATTGTTATCTTTGACAATCTTTAATAGTCAAAGTTTAGTGATGAACTTTAATAAATTGAAATCTTCATGAAAATGTTAAGATGTTTATTATGGTTTTTTTGGTATCATTAAGATGCTATTAGATGGATTGAAGAAGAAAGTTTTCACTCAAGCATGTTTAAATGATAGATTAAAGGTTATGTCCAAAGCATTTGATTTTTTTCAGAAAGTCAAACTGTTTTGCTTAATTTTTAAAATTGAGTCGTTATATGCAAAATTATGGATTAAAGTTCGGTGGCTATAGTTATGATAGGTATATAAAGGTGTTACAGTGATCATTTCAATGTTCCTTATGGGTTTTGATGGATTTTCAAAGTTCAAAGAATGTTTGAGTTCGGTTTGATCAATATATGAAAACTTATGCATTAGTTATGTTCTAAATGCAAAAATGAATGTGTGAACCTTATAAACATATTTTAATATGTATAATAAGAATGTTTTGGGTATTAGAATGTGAGCCAAGAGCCTCGGAAGAAATAAGAGCAAGTCACTGGATTAAGTTATTTTGATGCTGGAAATTGTAAAAATTGTATAAAATTACTTGTAACTCAGATTTTGAGATATAATATCAATCTGGAACCGTTGAGAAGGCTTATACAATCGATATATTTTGATCATGAGGTATTTAGGGATCTAAATAGGTCAAAAAAATGGGTTTTTACAGAGTTGTCCGTTTTAGACTCAAATAAAAGATTTGTTTCTTTTAAACCCATGTATGAAAAGGTTCAAAGTCCATTTTTGAGTGGTTCTTGATGGTATAATAAGATAAGTAAGTTGTCAAAATCTTTTGTTTAAGATGTTTGTATTGATGTGAGAACCATGTGTGGATTGTTTAGGTAGCACGACGGATAAGCAAGTTGGGCACCGGCAGGATCTCAACTAAATAGGCTAAGGTGAGTTTCAAGTAGATTTTAATAGGGTGCATGTCAAACGTAATTACTTTTACATGATTTATTTTGTTGGACGTGTAATGGTGATTAAAGTAGAAAATGCATGACTTTAAATGATGTTATGAAATAAAGGTATTGATGTTTATACAAAGTGACTTTATACATATTAAGTATGCATTGTTTCTTTGATAAAGTATGTAGGAAATACTTTGGTAACTTGGAAAGATGATATATATTTTTCTTAAATAAACATGTTCTTTAACCAAAGAAGGAAAATCTTACGTTGTATAAATGGGGCATTATGAGTTATTTATTTATTCACTGACATAAGAATGGTAGATCTGAATCAGGCGACTTAGGGTCATCCCTTTTGTTGCATTTGTATTGGGGTCGCTCCCTTTACAGTTAAGTGGGTTGCTCCCATTGGTAATGTATTGGAGTATCGTGCATGGATATATGTGTCAGGTACTCGGCTAATAGGTATAGTGTCAGGTGGACACATTGCGCAATGGTGATTAATCCGTCTTACAATCTGCCAAATTTGTTGTCGATATTGCTAAATTTGTTGTCCTGGCAAGGTGCAAAATGCCAATATGAAGCCTTTAAACTTATTGGTCATAGATAAAACTGTCTAGTTGGACAACGCCAGGTCCAGCATTGTGCTTCAATTTTTTAGAAAGAAAAATGTTATTATCATCAAATTAATGACAATTACCAACAATGGTCAACAAAAACTATTCAAAATCATGAAACTGTAAAGGCTAAACTAACTTTAGGGTGAAATTCACGTCCTCAAAACTACAAATCATTTAGAATCTCTAACGAAGAAAATTGCAATAAAACTAATTAGAATACGGCTGAAAGAAAAATTGTTAATTTAGTTACTTCCCCATACTTGTATCAGAGCAATTTCAAAGATACAAGTCCATAAACAACACGTTTGTCTAGTCAAGGTCTTCAACTTTGAATGGGGAACTGGAGGGTCATTATGACACGCCAAACCAAACTAAGTTCAGAAAATTGAGGTCCCTTAACCATACTAAGCTTTAAGTATATAAAGAAGCAGAAATGGCTTCAAATTTTTGTGCACATTTCACAAAAAGTGCACTAAAAATTTGAATATAAGACCAACAATAGATCGCAACTGTCAAATAATTTTTGCAACTTAAAATGCACTTACCCTACATATCTATACCTCTATATACATGTCTCAAGTGGACTTGCAATGGCATTAAATCCATATTCATAGGAGAGATCTAGAAATAGCATTCTATAAAAACCAAAAGCATCTTAAATAACTCCTTAATGTGAAGGATTTGTGTAAAGAATAATGCAACGACAGTGATGCAAGAACCAAAAACACAATCGCTGGACATAATATATGATGTCATGACCATAAAACAAATTTGTCAACAAATATTCATGCAAAAAATATTGAATCGACTACAAATTTTTGAAACATGTGATCTTTATTTGTCAAAAGAGCATGTTTTGAGTATGCACTAAAAAAAAATACATAACTGCGATACATAGATACATACATGCACACTGTCTTTGATATATTATAGGTCAAGCCAACCTCAAGAGACAAGGAGTGTTAATATATATAGGATTATTGGTATGAATATCCAACAATGTAACACAAACCTTGCCAAATACATTATACGAATTCGATTCTAGCATTCGAATCCACTACCTATTGATAGAGCCGATTTACAAGATCCTATAACTTAGGAAAGTTTGTTTTGTATTTCCTTAATTAATTATATTATTGTATTATAAAACGAGATCAATATACGGATCACCAAATACGGTGACTTTTGCAAAACCCTAATACCTATAATATACATTTTACAATTTTCGTTGAAGTTCCAGGGATTAAATAAGACAAAGTTAGATCAATTTAAAAGACAAAGTTCTAGTAATAACCACAATTTTCTCACAAGAAAATTCAAAAACTCCTTCCTATTCAGATGCATGCCATTCTCTTTTTTCTTCAAATACTCCCTCCTACATATTCAGGTACTTGCCAACGTGGTTGTAGAGTATAAACATATCTCACGTACCATCCAATGTATAAACAATGAAGCAACAGTTGGATTTTCAAACAAAGAATTGAATACTTTCTTTGTGGACATTCAACAAACACATGATAAGCAAAAGGGAATTGAAACCCCAACTTCATCACATGTTAAGAAACATGAATCGATTCTCTATAAACAAAAAATAAATTTATAAAAAAAATCTGATGAATGCAGAACGTTGAAAAAAAAACTATGAAAAGGGAGAATGGTTAACTAGTTGGAGCTCTKTATCCATACTTCCATATAGATCGATGTCCACACAAATGGTTCCCCTTTGAAGCCCTGGATTTGTATCCATAGTTATGGGTAGAGATGAATAAAGTCGGTTAAGTAAACACCAAGTTTGAAAATGAAGAAGTATTAGCAGTAATTGTTGCCTTGGGAGCAAGAATCGATGTCCTAGGAGAGGAAAGAGCTAATGGCCTCCTGATACTTATAAAGATGCATTAGTATGTGATGCATTAGTATGTTGTAACCCATGCATTTTTAATTAAGAGATCATGCATAAAACAACAGTACATAGGGCATAAAAACTTGTTTCTAAGATTTTTGTAGATTTTCTTTATAAGGTAGTATAGATATGACATACAAATTTATCGTCTTATGTCATGCCTGAAAAAGCGTCACGTCCTCGCCGTGGCTTATAAGGCCTAACGCTTGAGCTTGCTGCCATATTTCACGCCATTTTAAACCTTGAACTGCATATTGGCCATGAGTCATTGCTATGATATATCCAAAATTAACCATCAATAAACTTTAGAATATAGTTAAATGCTTCATTTTTGTACCACAAGCATCCAAATTTGTAACTTGAGTTTATCTAGAAATGAATGTATGTTATATTTGATGTTTTGTATAGGTAAAGATTATGAAACAAAGTTAGAAAAGAATGAGGCACAAGATTGTCCATATGTACTCCTAATTACAATGATGGAAACAAAAGTTTGGTTTTAATCATGGGTTGGTTCAATATTTGTAAATGGTAGCAACATATTTACACAATAACAACAAAAACTCAATCTCAGCAAGTAAGGACACAACATAAACATTAGCAGTAGTAACATATAGATATTAGAAACAGAAAGTCAAAAACATCAATAATAGTGACATCAACTTTGGGTTTTCTTAAACCTGATCAATGAATCAGTTGAGTATGGAGTTTATGTAGCATATATAGATATATATATATATATATATGCTTACTTTAATGAACAAGATTAGTTGTGTGATAATGATCTATGATTTATATAGGTCCATAATTGATATATATGCATACGT